TGTTACTCTTGGTGGTTGCCGCCACCTAGACGGCTTGGAGCAACGAGGATCATCGAGCGGAGGGTGGTGATTGTCTCCGGCTTCGATCGTGGTGATTGTGAGGGGTTCTTAACCTTTCCTCGGCGGAGAGCCAAAAGGTACTCTAGTGAATTGGTCGTGGCTTGTGTGATCCTCATCTTGTGTTGGTTGTGCGGCACCCTATTGAGGGTTTGGCGTGTGATGCAAATTAGCGCGTGAACCTCCAAGTGAGTGAATCGCCACAACGAGGAGTAGCTTATCGGCAAACAAGTGAACCTCGGTAAAAAATCATTGCGTTCATCATTTGATTCCGAGGTGATTGGTCTTCATTGTTATCATTCTTGTGATTGATTGGCTCCTTCCTCGATATGGTGGTATAACCTTCTTGCTTACTCTCTTTACATTACCGCAAACTAGTTGTCAAGCTCATTAGTGTAGCTAGTTGTGAGAGCTTGTTGGTTTGGTTAGTGTGGCTCTTTAATTAGCTTTTGGGAGCACACTAACTTAGTATAGTGTTATAGCTATTGTGTGAATAGAAACTATATAAACTAGAATTGTGGTAGGAGGCTTGCTATTTTAGTAGGCTAGCGCAACACTTGCTTCGCCTCATAATTGTCTAACCGGTTTGTTAAGTGTTGTTGTAGAAATTTTTAATAGGCTATTCACCCCCCTCTAGCCATTAGGACCTTTCAACAACCAACACAAGATGAGGATCACACAAGCCATGAGCAATCCACTAGAGTACCTTTTGGCTTTCCACCGGGGAATGGTCAAGAACCTCTCACAATCACCACGATCGGAGCCAAAGACAATCACCAACTTCATCTTGACGATCCTCGCTGCACCAAGCCATCTCGATGGCGGCAACCACCAATAGTAACAAGTGAATCCCGTAGTAAAACACGAACACCAAGTGCCTTTAGATGCAATCACTCAAGCAATGCACTTGGATTCTCTCCTAATCTCACAAAGATGATGAATCAATGATGGAGATGAGTGGGAGGGCTTTGGCTAAGCTCACAAGGTTGCTATATCAATGCAAATGGCTAAGAGAGTGAGCTTGAGCTGGCCATGGGGCTTAAATAGAGAGCTCCCATGAATAGAGCCGTTGGGCTCTCACTCCCTGTTTTCATGGGCCGACCGAACGCGCTGGTCAAGAGTGACCAGACGCATGCCTTCAGCGTCCGATCGCTCGATCCTCGCCACGTGTCCTGCCTTCAAATGTCAGTCACGCGATCTCAACGGCTAGTAGCCGCTCACACGCCACTTAAGTGACGACCGAACGCACCGAGGGCGTGACCTGACGCGCTCACACCGCGTAGCCAAGCCGGCGACCTGAAGCACCAAAGGAATGACCATACGCGCCACCAACGTGGAGTCCGGTCACTTCCAGAGAGCTTCCCAAATGCCCTTTTCGTGACCTAACGCGTCCGAGCACCACCGACCGGACTCACCCAGAGTCATGTCATCACCCGAGCCACTCACTAGCACCACATCACCATACGTCATCGTTGACCAGACTCGGAGGTTGCGCATCAGATCACCACAAGCGCTAGTGTCCGGTCAATCGCCCGAGACCGAGCCCCTTAACCACCACTGACTAGATGCATCGTTTGCAGAGTTTGGTCCAGCGTCCGGTCGAGGGAAAATAGCCCCTCGACTTCACCAAATCCTCCACCCTTGCTCAAATGCGCCAACCACCAAGTGTATCACCTTGTGCTCGTGTGTTAGCATATTTTCACAAACATTTTGAAGGGTGTTAGCACTCACTAGAATCTAAATGTATATGCAATGAGTTAGAACATCTAGTGGCACTTTGATAACCGTATTTCGATATGAGTTTCACCCTTCTTAATAGTACGGCTATCGATCCTAAATGTGATCACACTCGCTAAGTGTCTCGATCACCAAACCAAAAAGCTCCTATGGATATCACCTTTGCCTTGAGCTTTTTGTTTTTCTCTTTCTTCTTTTCCAAGTCCAAGCACTTGATCATTATGGTCACACCATCACCACATCATGATCTTCATTTGCTTCACCACTTGGAATGTGCCACCTATCTCATAATCACTTTGATAAACTAGGTTAGCACATAGGGTTTCATTAATTCACCAAAACTAAACTAGAGCTTTCAGGTAGGGGACGCCAGATCTAGGTCCAAGGAGCTAAGATCCGGAGGCCTTGCTCGCCGTCGGTAGTCCTGGCATCAAAGAAATTATTGCTCAAGTATCGACGAGGAGAGGAGGAGAGGAGGGGGAGAAGGAAGCAGCTACGGTGGGCCTTGTTGGGCGCCGCAGTAGGCCGCCGCCACCGCTAGTCGGAGAGCGGTGGCGGCAGCCGGGGAGGTGGCGCGGTGGTGAGCGGTCTGGTGGTGGCGGCGGGATCGCCCCTGAGTCATCCTATACGGACGAAGGGGGGGAGGTGAGTTGAAGGAGCTCAATTCATATAAGACATGGCATGGTGTCATATGTTTGAGTTTCTCATATTTTGAAATTCATTTTATTTTGAATTGTACAAACGATCTTAGATGAAAAAACAACGTTTTAGTTGACAATTTTTTATTAGAAATCATTTATGGTGAGTTTTAATATTTTGAAATAAAAATTTTCAAACGACCTCGGATGGAAAATCTTCCAAACCAAAGCTGTAGACCTCGATGAGAACTACAACTTTATAGTTTATGACTATTTCATTCGAAATCATTTGAGGTCAAGTATGGCTCAAGTTATCACAACTTAAATTTCAAATTTGCCAAATGTCCTCGAATGGCAAAACAACCAAAACCAAATTTGTAGATCTCAATGAGAACTACAACTTTGTAGTTGATGACTTTTTCATTGAATTCGTTATGGTCCCAAATATTCATTTTAAAATTCTAAAAAGTGAATACTAGGAGAATGAATGTGCCATATAGATACAAGTGACTTTCGGGGGTATAGTGGTTAGAGAGATACACACGAGGCCAAGTCCTTAGGTTTGAATCTCACTACTACTTCACGCAAAAAATCACGTAATTTTAGGATTTTGGACATACTAATCATCGTTGGCCGGTAACACGAACCGATAGTGATGATAATTGTCATCACCATCCTCACCGTCGAGGGCCAAAACCAGCAGTGAAAAGGGTTTTAGAACTGGCTGTGGTGACTTTTTTAGTAGCGGTAGGAGATTGATCAAATTTAATTATGTGGCTATTGTGTGCACTTTTGAGTTTGAAAGGTAAAACTTGAGCTACACAACTAGACACATGCTAGGAAGCGAACAGACTCGGACAACCTGGCCATGACATGGGTGGTGCATTGCTAACGAATTGCAGCTCCAAACTCAAACCAAGATAGGTAAGAGTGAGTGACGATGGACCAAGGGACAAAAGAGGAAAGATGATGATGAAAGTGAGGGATGATGGACCGAGAAATGAAAGAGGACGGTGAGTGTAATTGATGACAAAAGAGGGTGAAGGGACGAACATATGGTGGAGAGAGCGAGAAACGGAAGACAAACATAAGATTGATCCAATTTAAATAGGCGGTAACCATGTACACCTGCTATGAGTTTGAAAGGTGAAAGATAAGGCACTTGCTTGAACGCACACCACAATATGAACAGGCTCATATGATGAGGCTATTAGCATGTTTGCTTGTTGGTTTCGGTCAGGGTTTATCAGCCAGCCAATAGTATTTTCCTCTCACAATAAACTAGCACCAACCGGATTTATCAGTCCAAAAACCAACCACGAACAGACCGTATAAATGAATGCTGCGATGTTAACGAAGGTCTCATAGCTTTAAACTCAAACAAAAGTTAAAAATAAAAGGGCGACTAGCGAAGAATCGATGGGAGGTGGACAAAGTGAAAATGACGAGAGGGTGAAGAGAGCGAGAGAGTAAAAAGAAAGAATTTTACGGTGACATAGATATGGATTTTTTTAGTATTTTTCTCTTAATTAGTAATTTTTAAAACTTAGGACTATGATTGAATACTTCGGTTCTATTCGTGTGTCCTTAAACCCGATTGATCTGCTTCTTTTTTATCCACAACAGCATTTTTCTCTCATAAATTCCTCCAGCATTCTTCTAAATCATCTTTTTCTCGATGAACACACCCTTAAAAGCGGTCTCGGGACAGGGATCATCTGAACTCTTTGAAAACTTTGCGAACACCTGGTCTGTGGCCTCTCAGGGTCTCAGGGACAGGGATCTTCTGAACTCTTGAAAACTTGTGCGCGTCCTGGTCTGTGGCCTCTGTTTAGAGCACGTGTCCACCGCAGGATCCTATCCAGATCCGGGCCCAAGCAGACAAGACCAACACAGGCGGCACGGCAGCCAGTACAGCAGGGAAAGAGACGCGCACCGCCCAGCCCAGCAAGCTCAGGTGTGAAGCCCAACCTAAGTTCAAATATGTTATTAATTTTTTTGAGCATCTTAATGACTTCAAATGAAAAAACTCAAAACTAGAAAACGATCTATAATTTTCATATAAATTTTTTCGTATGATTAATATATCTTAGAAAAATCATATTATTTTTTTTTTTATGGAATTAAATGAAAAAAAAATTTATATGAAAATTATCTGTGCTCGCCGTCCGACGCGTTAACGCCCACTCACCCAACAGCACAACACAACTCCATTACGAACGCGAAAAACTCCAACTCCAAACGCGAAACGCCCGCAGCCGCAGGCCGCCTCCCCCTCCCCTCTCTGCTCTGTGCTCTCTTACTCGCGGATAATTTTACAGGTCGCCTCGCTTCTCGTGTCTCGTCTTCCTCTCCGAGCACCGCAAATCCAACTCAAACCCAACCCGTCCCCGACCGATCCCGCAAAACCCTAGCGCCGTCGCCTCCCTCTCGGTTCCACTCCCACACCGTCCTCTCCATCCCCGCCTACGCGCTCGCGCCGCAGATCGGGAGACCGTACGTCGACCGTCGGAGATCGGAATTCTGGTTTTTTCCCCTTCCGCGTTCGCGTCGGCTGCTGCGTCGGCGATGGCGGGCGGCGGGAGCAGGCGCGGCGGCGGCGCGGCTGCGGAGGAGCCGAAGATCGGCAGCGGCAACGTCTTCGCGGCGCTCGAGACGCTCAAGAAGAAGAAGAAGAAGCCGGCGGCCGCGGACAAGGCGGCGCCCAAGCCCGCCGCCGCCAGGGACAGGGAGGACCCCAAGCCGGAGGTCTTCTGGGCGCCCGCGCCGCTCACCGCCAAGTCCTGGGCCGACGTCGACGACGACGACGACGACGACTACTTCGCCACCACCGCGCCGCCTCCCATGCCCGTCTGGGGCGACGCCGCCCACCGCGACGCTGCCAAGGAACAGCACGCCGCGCCCGCACTGGAAGAGGTCTGTCTCGCTTCAATTCCATCCCGTTTTCTTTCTCCCTTTATTTATTGTGCTTTGTGGTAGCTGAGTCTCACAATTCGTCAGGCCAGGATTTTCTTTTCTTTTTTATTATTATGTAAGTCTATGTTTATGTTCTATATATATGCACTCTTGATATATGCACTCTTGATGTTGGTATGGAGAGCGATCTTAAGACAATTGCTCGCAGTCGCTAGTTTTAGTATCATGTTTGAGTGCTTTCATGGAATAAAATTTGCCTAGTGGGTCATAGGTATCCTGCACTGATTTGGATGCTGAATGATAAGGCTATTAGTTGTCGTTATCCGTTGTCAAAATGCTGTTAGCCGTTATATCCTGGGAACATTTGAATTAACGCTTTACACGGTAAGCAAGTAACGGATTGCGGTTTCAGGTGACTAGATTTCATCAAAGAATTATAAGCCTTGATGGTACATGAACTGACTTGTTAAGTTATCAAAATTCCTGCTGTTGCAGCCATAGGATCGTAACGTAGGTTGATAATAATAATCACGCACATGTGGGAAGTAGAAAAAAAAAGAAGTATGACGTTAATGGAAATGGGATGCTCCTCTTTTCAGAAAAAGCTTAGAGGGTTATTGGATAGGGAATCAACAACACGTAGTGGGCTCCATGGTAACAAAAGCAACTTCAGTGTCCTAAGAAATCGAGAAATTTTAATTCTTGCTGTTGTAATCGTAGCATTATAACGCTTGCTGAGAATTGCACACATATGGGAAGTGGAAAATGTTGCGATACAAATAAATAACTCTGTAAAAACTTGGGTAGGTTAGAGAATCAGATAGGGAACAAGCAATGGCTAGTGGGCTTCATGGACACAAAAGCAACATCAGTGTCCTTGGGCAGTCAAGCTCTAGTAGTCTAGTTACAGATAGATTGGATTGCTGGATTAGTGCCGCCTGCCTATTTTTGATATGCAACTAAAATATCTTTACAAGGGTATGCGTTTTTATCTTTGCATGTGGCCATATTGATTCCTTGATTCTTGCCTTTTTGTTTCTAGATTTGGCATACCTTTTGTACTAGTTTAGTACCTCCAGAAATCTAAATGCATTCCTTCATACGATTAATCGAAATAAAGCAGGGCTGACGAAAAAACTTTGTACACATTGATTATTGTTATGAAATAGTGTCTCTCATTTATATTGTTGGACCATTTGTGAACATTGCCACCTTATTGTGATATTATCGATTGCGTCTTGCATCTGCATCGAGTTTAAATTGCATTGAGCTATGTACATGAGTGGATCAGAACATCACAGAAGTTCTTTTGTTTAAGGTGTTATATATATGTTACCATGCTACTATGTTAGGTTTAGAGCATCATAAGAAGCCACTACTGGGTTGTTCCTATTTCAAAATATGTTCGAGCATATTGTTCTGCATTTGTTAAGTACTCTTGCCTCCCAAGTCATACATCGACTGAGCTTATTTTGTGTACCTTTCCATGTCTTCCATTTTAGCTCTATATGCTGTCAGTTTTGTCTTACTATATTATGCAATATTCTTACCTGAATATACCATGTTGTTTCTCTAAATGCCTCTTACACATTGCAGGAGATTGAGAGTGAAGATGATGGCCTTGATGATGAGGTTGATGATGATGCCGATGAGGACGATGAGCATGAAGCAGAAGATGCTGTCCCTGCTGAACCAACTGTGAAGAATGCTGCAGCTCCACCTGCACCACCCAAAGATACTGAAAGACAACTTTCCAAGAAGGAATTGAAGAAAAAAGAACTTGCTGAACTTGATGCTGTTCTGGCTGAGTTGGGCCTTGGGACATCAAACAATTCCACTCAAGATGAATCCAATGGTAAGTTCTAATACATGCTGTTCTCTTTCTCCAAAGAATTTCCCTTCAGGAATAATTCCATGAAAACTGAACAAACTCAATCTGGTCGTGTTGATGCCTTACCGGTTGGCCGTGCTGGCTCAAGATTTGCCACTTCCTTTATGGTGATGCTGAATCTTCTGTTGCAGGTAAGAAAGGTGCAGATCAAGCTGCAGATGGAGAGAAAAAGGACGATGCACCTGCTCCTCTAGAAAGCAAGAACTCAAAGAAGAAGAAATCTAAGAAAGACAAGTCTTCAAAGGAGCCAAAGGAAGTGCGTGATCAGGCTGATGGGTCGGAAGAAGCAGCTGTTGCAGAACCTGATGAAGATACAGCTTCTGTGGATGTCAAGGAGCGCATAAAGAAGGTAGCCTCAATGAAGAAAAAGAAGTCAAGCAAAGAGATGGACGCAGCAGCAAAGATCGCTGCATCCGAGGCCGCAGCAAGGAGTGCCAGGCTTGCTGCAGCGAAGAAGAAAGAGAAGAGCCACTACAACCAGCAGCCTGCGCGGTGAATTGCCCTGATTTTGGACCTCTTCTAAACTTTTGAGCTCTGATATCCCCTTGTTCGTTTTGGACCTGCAATAAACTTTTTGAGACTGTGTTTTTGACTTGGTGGAGGTGCCGTCTGATGCTCGTTTTGGGAATTAAAATTATGGTAGGTACATAGGGGGCTGTCTTGTCGCTGGAGTCTGGATGGTGTAATGAGCTCTGAACTGTTCGTCATATGAACCCTGCTGACTATATGGAAAATGTGGGATATACCTATCCGGCTTGAATGTCTGCAAATTGTTCTTCGTTCTTGTGTCATAGCATTGGTTTTAGATATCCTTTGGGTAGTGAGCAGAGCATTGAGGTTGCCATTTACTGAGAATCTAGGGCTGTTGTACTGGAGTTTTACGGGAAACCGATTCGGCTGCCCCCGGCCTCGTCGGCTTTTGGCCTGCGGCGTGACACGGCGCGGCTGCGCGCCTGCGGGGCGGTGTGTGAAACGAAAGCGGATTCTGGCGTGTTTGGAGTCTCTCCAGTAAGGGTTGCCTACTTCCTGGGAAACGGAGCTCCCCAAAGGCCTTCGAGTTCTTTTTTGAGTAGTTTCAGGCTTTCAGCTCTACTCAAGGACAGCAAGAAATGGCTCTCCAAGTCTCGATTTTCGTATTTTCGTGGCTCCTTCCTCCTTTAGCTCCCGCAGCTTCTTTGGTGAAGCCCTCGCTAGCACCGGTTGCCAAATAGGCCTTCAGTTTTTATTCCTTTCATGGTGAAGCACTGAAGCCCCAAGCTAATTCCGGTTGCCAAATAGGCCTTCAGTTCTTTTCCCTTTCATGGTGAAGCCCCTCACTTGCTTTGATGGAGTTTTTTTTTCCGGCTGTCAAACAGGTCTTAGTTTCCCTCTTGCTTTGATGGAGAGGGTAACATTTTTAGGGATGGAGAGAAATTTCAGGGAATGAGATCTGTTACACCTTTTTTTTCCCTCTCAATCCTCTTTATACAGGAATATAAGTGGATCTCTTTATCTATGGTGTTGCTGTACAGTGCGCTATCATTGATTCATTGGGCAATTGAGCGTTCAGCCAGGCCCTCACGATATGGACCTGAAGGATTCGAAAATCAAGATGGGCTGATCTGGATCTATGTTGTGCCCATAGTTGGCCATGCAGCCTGAACCTGTCGGCCCGGCCCGAGGCCCTTTTTTTTGGCCCGGCCCAAGCACGGCCCGGCATAGAGGCTAGCGGGCCCGGGCTGGCCCGGCCTACGGCCTCCCAGGCCTCCCCGCGCCCCATCTCACCCCCCCCGACTCCCCCTCCCCGCCCTCCTAACCCTATCTCATTTCCCCAATTCCCCAGATCCCGGTCACGACACGCCGTCCCCCTTTCCCTGACCCCATGAAAGCAAAGATCGGCCATCGGCGTCGCCGCCCCTCTCTCCTCCCGGTGTCTATACCTCTCTCTCTCCTCTCACGGCATCACACCTTGCAGCGCCCTCTCGCCCTTCTCCGCTCCGCTCCGCGCCCTCGCGACCTCCCTCTCCGCTCCGCTCGGCCACACACCGCGCCCCTCCTCCTTCCTCGCGACCTCCCTCCTCCATCTCTCCAGACAGTGGTGGCGGCAGCGCCGCCCTCCCCCACCCTTTTTGTAACACCCCTGGTGTTAGGCTTACATAATTGCACTTGCATTTCATAAACATGAGCATTATTCATCCATTCATTAGCTTATATCACATGAAACATGTTATCGAAACATTGCAACATGTTGTATATTTCATGAGTGTTGTTTTTATGAAATGAATAGTGTGCAGCACCCAAGTACAACATGTGCAACTCACTTTAATGGAACATAGCTAGTTAGTACGATGCAACAAGATCATGAAACATGTGAAACATGACTATGAAACAAAAGTAACATTTCAATTTTTTTCATTGTTTCAGTACATTCCGTGCTTGATTCTTGTGTGACCAATGTGTGGTATGGCTAAATATATTTTTAAACAACTTAGCTATACTTAGAAGGTCATTAGAAACAATGTTCATGTTGATCATTTTGCCTAATTAAGTTTTCAAGTCATGGTTTGACTAGTGTTGACCTCTAGAGCTCTTTGGTTTGACTGTTTAAAAAGTGCAACTTAGAGTCTATGTATGCCTGAGCAACCTAAAGCAAAGTTGTAGCAAATTTTATAAGGAACAAACTTTGTTTAGAAGCCAAGTCATGAAAATGCGCACAACATGTTCAAATGTGACCCTCAAGTCAATATTGAAAGCTGATTCAACACTTGAAAATATTTCTAAGTGTTAGTTGCTGTTTCAGTTTCATGAACTCGACTTTGGCTTGATATAACTTGTGATCCGTCGTGATTTAGCTGATGATGTCTAAAGCATTGTTGGAGTCCTATCTTAGCTCTACAACTTTCATGTACATGGTTTTCGCTATTGATCAACAGCTTAGTCGTTTCAACGCGTTGAAGTTGCACTGTCAGGCTTGATTGGATCAGTGAATGGCGAGCTGCAATGTTCGGCAGGTTCAGAACTCGTCAACCACGTGGCGCCACCCGTCGCCGGCCGTCTGACCACGCTGGCCACGCGCCGCGGCTGTTTTGGCGTCGCAGGCCATGACTTAAACACCCCACGCGCCTACCCGACCCGCTCGCAGTCCATTTCACATTCTCTTTCGCCTCCACCGCGCGCAGCAGCAGAGCATCCGCCGGCTCCGCCATTGCCGAGCAGCTCCACCGTCGCTTAGCTCCGTCGCCGCCACAAAAACGCAACTGTCAGCTCGACCACAGCTCCGCCGTGACCTCACCTACCTCGTCGACCGTCTAGACGAGCCCTCCGTGCCCTAGGTGAGAGCCAGTGACCGTTTTTCCGCCGCCGTCCCCATGGCCGCGCCTCGCCGGAGCGGAACTCACCGCGGCCAACCACCACCGAGACCCCCTCGTCTCCCTTTCTCTGCCTTTATAGCACTTTAGTGACCTCGTGGAGCTCGTGCCAAGCTTGGATGAGGTAGCAAGGGCTCGCCGCCGTCGGCGCCTTGCGCCGGAGCTCTGCCGTGCCGCCATCACCGGCGACGAGCTACCTCCGGTTAAACCTAGGTCCCACTAGTAGCATTGATCAACGCGCGTCTCGTCACGTAGATCATGTAGGTGTCCTCCATTTCGCCGGAGTCCTCGCCGTCGGCAAGCTTCGCCGTGTTCCACGTCGTCGAAGCCGCCTCCCCTGTTTTCGTCTCACTGACAAGCGGGTCCCACGTGTCAGTGACAGTTTAGTGATAGGCTAGTTCAAATTTACAGATTTCTATGCTATTATGTGAATTTTGTAACTGCAAATGTGTAGATCCAAATGGTTTGATTCAAATTTTATTAGACTCACAGGGAAGTCTAGTATTTAAGAAAAATATGACATGAGCACATGATATAGAAATTTTGAATGAATTAAATAGGAACTTGAAATATGTTTTTAGATGCACGCAAACTTGTTTGAATTATATCTTGACTTTCTGTGGTCCAAAAATTATGAAATTTTATGGGTAAGCTAGTCTTGCTTAGTAGAAGCTCTGGTAAAAATTTGAGAGTCATTGCATGTGTGGTTTTTGAGTTATAGATTTTTCTTTTATCATTGATTGATACTTGTATAAATTTTTATAAATTATCTAGGAATCCTATTACCATAAAATTTTGTGGGTAGTATCCTAGGGCCAGTTTAGTTCCCCAAAATTTTGTCAAATTTTTTAAGATTCCCCATCACATCGAATCTTTAGACGCATGCATGAAGCATTAAATATAAATAAAAAATAAAACTAATTACACAGTTTAGACGAAATCCATGAGATGAATCTTTTAAGCCTAATTAGATTATGATTGAACACTAATTGCCAAATAACAACGAAAACCGCTACAGTAGCATTTTGCCAAATTTTTTGGCATCTAAACAAGGCCCTAGTACCTTAATGATGTTAGGAAAAATATGAAATTTGTTGCTTGACACTTTTAACTAAGGTTTTCTATTTATGCCTTTTTAAGCAGTTATGCCTTGTCATTTTTGTGTAGGCTATTTAACTTATCCAAATGCCTTGAAAATTTTATGGTAGTCTACTTAGAGTAGTACTATGCTACTGTAATTTTCTCAGATTTTTATGAGCCCTAGAAATATATGTTGCTGTGTAGCCCTAATTTAAAATGAAATCAAATGATCTTCTTTAATGCGAGTTTAGTTAATAATGTTCGCTTTGGTGTATCTTTGAAGCATCTTAGTTTGCTGTGGTGATTTGGCATGTTAGTACAGTGGTTGTCGTAGTAGATAGTAATACATGTTCTTGGATGATGTCGACTACCTTATAGAAGAGCTTTGCTACTACTATGTCCAATAAAGTTAAATATGTTCATCTACATTTCATGCATCATAATCACCACATGTCATCTCTCCGATGCACCTATGCATTAGCACTTATGCATCTGCAGCATACAGGATCGCAGGAGGAGTTGCCAGTAGCAGTTCAGGAAGAGCAGACCGGGACAGATCCACAAGAAGTCTAGGCATAGGAGGTGCCAAAGGAAAAGGAGCAAGGAGAGGACTTGCCCGAGTGTGTGGATCATCATCCTAGTTTGTTCGAACGAGGCAAGCCTCGGAGCATTCTAAGTCTCCTACTTTACAAAAGCAATTCTTTCTATCTATATGAGTTATATATTGTTGCATTAAGTTGTAGGAGTTGATTGAAACCGTTGATGCATTTATTACTATCCTTGCCTACCTTATTATCTTTTACCCTGTTAGGTCAGGATCGAATAACTGCTTAGCCTTGTTTAGACCGGTAGCGATCGGTGATTTCCGGTCACCTACTTTTATAGGTGGTTACTGGAAGAAATTAGCCATGGAAAGAATGATATCCTGGAATTAACCATGTGTGATGAATAATTGGAGACCGAACGGAAAAAGTTAGAGGCAGCCAGACAAGGTTCTGGGGTGCAGTTAGTTTTCCGTCTGCGTCGATTAAGGACCGATCGTTGCTCGTCCCTCTTGTCATGTTGAATG